AACAGACAGTACTGGTACTACTGCTACAAATCCATCTGTAAGCACAGGAACAGACAGTACAGGTACTACTGCTGCAAGTCCATCTGTAAGCACAGAAACAGACAGTACTGGTACTACTGCTACAAATCCATCTGTAAGCATAGGAACAGACGGTACAGGTACTACTKCTGCAAGTCCATCTGTAAGCACAGGAACAGACGGTACTGGTACTACTGTTACAAGTCCACCTGTAACCACAGCAACATACAGTACTGGTACTACTGCTGCAAGTCCATCTGGAAGCAAAGGAACAGACGGTACTGGTACTACTGCTGCAAGTCCATSTGTAGCCACAGCAACAGACAGTACTGGTACTACTACTGCAAGTCCATCTGTAAGCACAGGAACAGACGGTACTGGTACTACTGTTGCAAGTCCACCTGTAACCACAGCAACATACAGTACTGGTACTACTGCTGCAAGTCCATCTGTAAGCAAAGGAACAGACAGTACAAGTACCACCTCTGCTATTTCAGGTACTAGGGTACATTTACCTCAGAAATTACAACATGTTGTGTTGCACTTAGCAGTAACTGTGTATCTTTTTCTTTTCCAAACAATTATAGTATGTGACGACAGATATTTTGTTAATAGGGAAATGTCTGCTTTGTGTCATTTTTGAACCAATTGAAGTTTCAAAAATATTTTCCAATAACCTTGTGTGGGCTTGCTAGTATATATTGAAATGGAAAGTATGGGATTACTTAACGGTGCATATTTACTATAATTGATGTTTCAGTACCTAGCACTCCATATGTCATGGCTAATAGCATAAACCCCACTACTATCAAAGTACTGTGGAATGGAATCAAGCTCGATGATAAATCCCTTCGCTTCAAGATTTTTTACAGATCCGAGAAAGATGATGTTTTGAAGAGTATTACTTGCAAGAACTGTAGTTCTATTTTACTTACGGGGCTTAGGAGTGGAACAAAGTATCGTGTATCAGTTGAAGCATTCAACCATATTGGTGTAA